AGGATGTGTGGCAGCAGCAATGGGTTTCAAAATCCAAAATCAGGGGGGCCTCAAATTTAAATTAACATGTGGGGATTTGAATAGCTGAGGGTTAAAGTGTATAGTTGGCTGCACATCAGTGGAAACTGGGATGTGTAATAGATACAAATTGATAGCTTTTTGATTGATGAGCTCCCTTAATCCTGGGCAGAATTTAATTTGATTTTTAATATTTTTGTAATAGATAAAAATATTGAATATAATATTTCCTTTTAAAAACATGGTTGGTTATATATCTAAATATTATTTATTAACGAATAAAAAATGTCTTAAAATATTTTGAATAATTTCTTAGTTATTTTATAATTAAACATAAGTTTTAGATTTTAAAAAAGGAGTTTTGTTTAATTCTTGATTTTATTGGTGACATGATTACTTTCCATCCTAAACATGTTTAATGCACTTCAGTGCACATTTGTTAACGATGTGTTCTAGATGCCACTAAAGAGATACCAAACTCCACTGCCCCCGAGGAGACTCCAGTTTAAAGACAACGCAGCCGGATTTTGGAAAATCCATTTTACGGGTGCCAAGTGCCAGACCAAACCGAATGTCTGTAAACTTGCACGTGACTTTGGGCCAACTTGCAATATTTGCAGCTAAGGCCAAAGCCAAAACCAAAACTAAGCTGCCAACAACAATGGCGGGCAACGTGGAGAACTCGTGAAATCAAAACTAAAAATTCTGAAAGTCACATAGCAGAAAGTTTTCCATGCAGGTATCGTAGATCCAACGGAAGACTGCCAAAGTCTGTGACTGTTTGCTTAAATGATTTCGCAGTTTTTTCACCCCCTCTCGTCCCAGAACTTTCTTCCTTTTTGTTTGCAAGTGTACTTGTTCCTTTTTTCTTTTCATGTATTTTTGGTTTCCTTTTTTATTTTTCTGTTGGCTGGGCGCCGCATAAAAACTAATATTGTGCAGAGAGAGTTTATTGGAATTTCGGCAAGGAAGAGGAACTTCTAACAGGTAGTATCTTGTAATTTTATGGAGTTAGCCGTGGGGACTTTGGCCTATGGAAATCGCTGCCAAAAATGTCGTAAAATCAGGGCAGGCCACGCATACGAAAAATGGCGCTAAACTCCGTCGGCAAACTTGTGCGATGCGATGGATTTTGTCTTGCGGTTAGTTTTCTGCACAGATTCTGCGGATGACAGGGCCAAGGAAAGCACACAGAAAGTGCCCCAAAATTGTTATCCACATTAAACAGGTCGCCGCAACTTTTTGGCAGTTGCGTATCCTGCGGATTCGCCGTTTACGTGCTGCGTATTTCGCATGCAGGACACGTGGGTCCTGGTCCTATCAATAGGTATTTTCGTTGGCTGCGCATCGATGGCTCTAATTAATGTTTAAACTCTGGCCTGTATTATTCAGTGACTTTGCTGCCCAGGGACGTCCATCCGGCTGCCGGTTGCCACATAAAAACTAAGCATCGCACGGTGAAATGGTTTCGACCAGCCCCGTGCACAATGACCGAAATGAGAGAGTTAGGTATACCACAAAATTGAAGAATAGTAGTGGTGCATAAATTATTTCCACAAATAACGCGATTGATGTGTTTCACAGAAAATTTTTAAATATATTAAAGTCCATTTTTACAGATATTATGGTCTAGTTACTTTTATTAAATAAATATGGAATATAAAAAGATGATTTTGGAAAATTTCTTAGATTATTATTCTCTCTTCTTAGAATCAATACAATTCGAAGCAGAAGAAGAATGAATTTAATTTAACCATTAAAAAAAAGAAACTATAGCTAAAAATTATTAAAACGATCGATACCACTATAAATTCAGAAATTTAAGAAAAATTATTTTAAATTATTTTTTTGATTTTGAAATACATATTTTTTTTAGTTTTTGTAATTTGTTCTTTATTCTATCTAATATCTAGTATCTATCTAGTATCTAATATAATATCGATAAAATCAATAGCCAAAACGATCGATGGTTCCTACTATCTATTCTATTTAGACACTAAAGCAAGGACAAACTGAGATAATAAAAGCCACAGAAATTCAATTAAAATAAAATCTTGTAAAAACTTTGTTAAGTGAAATACTTGACATTACAAACGGTTAAACTCAGCCTGGTTTTATTGATTAATGTGAGTACTCAGACCGTTAGCAGGAATTGACCAACTTGAAATTATGAATGGAGATTCGTTAGTGGAGATGGAGAGGATGATCTCGGAGGGTGGAAAACAGTGGGTGAATTTGGGAGGAAGAGAAGGAGGAGGAGCTAGTCGAGTGGCGTCGCTGGCTGCACCAAAAAGGAAACGATATCAAGTGCTTCAATCAAGTAAAACTTGCAATATAAATTCAAACATTTTCAATTCAATGCGTTTTTGTGGTTGTTGCCACTCAAGCATTGGCATTGCTATGAATATTCCTCTTTACTTCTCCTCGTTGCGGAGTCCTCTTTTCCAGCTTTTCGAGGTTTTCCATCAAAATGCAGCTCCGTCTGGCTTGAGCTATTATTTTTGGTTTTGTAGCAACATTTACCTGGGCAAGCAAATTGCGATTCGAAGCCAAATACCACGCCCCCAAACCGCCCATCGAGTCGCGGTCAATGCAATAAATTGGATTGCATTTGATTTGGTTCTGAGGTTACTGAACAGGTAACTTTATTATTACTATTATTACATTGCAACGTATTTAATTTAATTATGTTGGGCCAACTTGGCTGGCATTTTCCTTATATTTTATTACCCTCAGTTTACTTTTATTAAATTAAACAACTTTATTTGTAACTCATTCCTTTTCTCTACTTGAAATCATTAGCATTGATGTTATCACATAATTACGAAGTTATGAGAACAAAACCCAAACCATTTGAGCCAACTTCCTACAAAACCCAAATGACTTACGCAACCAAACACTCACACAAAGTCTTAAATTTCCTTGCCTCGTGCTTTACGGACCCATTCCACTTTGGCTGCCACAACTTGAGTTAATTTAATAAATCTTGAACAACTGAATAAGCTTTAAATTAATGACCCTGTAAAGTTCATATAAATTATTGCGTTATCTCGAGCATTCACCCCCCAGAACAACCATCCATCCACCAATCCACTCCCCACTGGCAGCTGACACGTGGTGGCACCCTACATATGCCGGGCATTCAAGATTGCCCCACTGTTTTCCGCTTTTCCTGCTCCTTTTCCTTTTCCTTACCCGCCAGAGTTCTTCCAAATGATTTCTCATTTCCAATGCCGACGGCTGGAGCAACATACTTTTATTCCTTCCGAAATCAAATTTGTATCAATTACAATTGCATTAACATATAATTTGTGAGCGACTCGAATTTCGCAGCATCTGGTCGGGGCCCAGAAATGAACATTTAAATGGGTAGAAATTGGTGGGACCTACTCAAACTTTGGCTCTAATATCAGCATACTTATGGGAAAAATCGAAAATAAAATTCTCTGGCTGCTCTGAGCATATTAATTTTCATGCATTTATTAATAATATTAAATTACACATTGCCAGGGACAACCAATTAAATTGCTTAAGAAACAATTTCTTGGTCAAATTAAATTTGTAAGATTTAATAAACACCTTTGACGAAAAAATTGCATTGCCCAGAGCAAATCAAATTAACAAGCATTCTCCGAATCTATTACTTCATTATTCCCAATTAAATTACAGGCTTACGAAAATGATGCCGGCTTTCATTGTTGGCCAATTAAATTCCATATGCATTTCCGATGAGCCAACACCAAGTTTTGCCACCTCGAAAATCCAACGACTGGCCAATAACAAATTAGGAAATCAAGCCTCAAGGGCCTGTGATATAAGTTCGCACCAGCTGCGGTATAAAATCAACAAGGGCGGCGGCTCGAAGTTCGAAGCTTGTGTTTGTAGCCCAAGTAGATTACACAGCCAACAATGGGGCTCCCTACTCCTGACTCCTTACTCCTTAGTCCTCTGGGCCAAGGAGTGAATTTCGGTCGACCCAATTTCCATATGCGGCAGATGGCGGTTTTTGGCTTAACTAGCCAAAACTTGGATCCAAGTTTGCGTGCCAAGTCAAACAAATCGGAGGAGCCGGAGGTGCAGCAGTTAGAGTGGGAAAGTGTTTGTTTCCCTGCTCACATGGCGTCCTTTTGGGGTCTTCAGAATCCAGATTCAGCTTCAGATTCCCAATGCGGTTGCAGGCTGGAGACCAAGGCAAAAGTTGGCGACCACAAGCCGAATATTCTCCGAATGCCAGCAGCTAATATTATTGAATAAAATTGAATTTCGCCAGCGTTGTTGGCTTTGTAAAATTATTAAAACATGACTCGGTATTCCAGTTGGGTTTTCCGTTTTCCGTTGTCGGCTTAGATCGCTCGCCAACAATTTCATTTTGCGGCTTGGCGAGGTTTTTGTTGCGGCACGCCACACGGATAATTCAATTAGGTTCTGAAGTAGGACTTACACCAAAGCGGAAGACAGCAAGCAAATTGCAATACTTTTGCAATTATGCGGAACAATTTGGTGCAGCATCTGATTGCCACAGGCGGTTTAGCAATCAAGTTGCCATGGAGAACTTGCACTTGGTTTGTGCAAAGATAAGCTACACAAAAAAAAACACATCGGGATCAAATCGATATGCGCATGGTAATTTCTGGTCTCGCAATAAGCAATATGGCGACTTAAATTAAGTGAGTGGGAGCGAATAATACCTAATTCTATCAATTCGCTGATAGCGCTTAAAGTTAGACCAGTTTGAGGGAGGAAGACGCACTCTAAATTCAAATATGTTGCTTACATTTTGAGCATATCAAGTCAAAATTGATACCACAAAACATCAAATTGATCATCGTTTCATATCAAGTTTTTTTTGGGTGTGGAAAATCATACCTAAAGCTCATGATTAAATTTCACAAACATTAATGTCATTATATTTCAAACATCGATTCTTCACAGTTGATTTTACGGATCAGTCATATTATATTGGGTTTTTCTTAGTAAGTTAGTAAAAGTATAGGATGCACCTAGTTCATAAATATTTTTTCGCAAATCTATTATTATTTTCGTCGTTTTCCTGCGCGCAGAGAAGTGAGTTGTTAGCCATTTAAAATCATATCTACCAACTATAGTTTCAAATTGTTTTGCATTTAGTGTGGCAATGTGGCGTACATGGATTTTGCAGGCCAACAAATGCCAACTGCGGAATGTTTTTTGAGAGTGTCTTTTGTGCCGCGCCCCTTAAATGTTGCTACTTATTTCGTTAACAATTAAATTTTAAACTAAATTCCGGACTCAAAAATTTGTTTCAAAGCCCGCAAACTTTAATCACCCGTTTACAGCTTTCTTATTCATACTTTTCGAAGTTTTATTGCTGGCAGCTGCTCAATTGAATTTCCATTGGCAACCGAACAACAGAACAGCCCAGCTCAGTTTGCACTCCTCCATTTCCATTTACATTTCTCATCGGGCTCTATTCCGCTACGTTCTACGGTCGACCGACTGCCTCAAAGTAAATATCCAACTGTAAATCCACAAATCAAATGCAATCAATTCAAATTTCACACTTCAATATTCATTAGAAATTTATTTTGCATTTTACAACTGCAATGTGGATGGAGGATTCTCGCCGGAGGCAATCGCCTGGTGAAACCAAAGACCCAGCGCCTCAGCATCTCAGTATTTCGATTGGAGGAAACGAACGTACAAAAAATAGCTTGGGATTTTCAGGAAAATTAGCTGCCAATTGTTTTCAGCACCCAGCATCCGACATTCAGCTGATAAATTGAGAACGGTCGGAACGGAAATTGTGCTAGCCCAAGCGGGAAATTTTCTGGTTTTAGCTATGGGTATTCCGAAAAGGACTGCACTTAAAGGGTGATACTTTAATTTGGCCAACTAATTTATGCACAGTTCATAAAAATTAAAGCTGGCAACCCTGCGACACACATGGCGTATGCGCAATGCAAAACTGCGGGCAGCTGCAAAATGTCAGGAAAAAAATGAAGGTGAATCCAAAAAACTCACACTCATATAAATGCATATGTTTTTGTGTGTCCTAGTGCAGTGCATATAACTTAATTATGCAGAAATGTAAGCGGGGTACGAGGTTGCAGGGTTGCCAAGTTTCTCCGTGCGCCGCTTGAGGTCTTTCCATAAGCTCAAAGTTCGTAATAGGATTTAGCTGGTACAGCTTGTTGCAGCACTTTTGGTTGTTATTGTTGCACTGCCACTGCTACCGATGGTTGTGGTTGTACCTGCTGAAGACGATGATGATGATGCACGGCAGTCCTGGTTGCTCCTCTGGCTTTCTGTGTCAAAAACCGAACTATGGGCACCCAATTAGGTAAATAGTAAAATTATTTTTCAAATTAATTTATTTAAATTTGAAAATGAACTCCTTATTAATTTTAAAAGATATTATTAGTATTTAAAACATTATTTATCATTTTCTTAAATAATTACACAGGCCGACAAAATGTGACATGGGTCGGTGTCCAGGCCTGCCACCATTTTATTTCGATAAATGAGGCTTTTCTAAGCATAAGTTGCCACTACGCCTATAGTCCATCAGCTCTGGTATTTGCGGTATCTTTAATTTAAGAAAATCACAAATTTTCTTCGTCTTTTGGGATATATCTTCAAGAGTGGCCAACCAATTTTGGTAATCTTTTCGGAAATAAATAGTGTCATGTCTCTTTTATACGGTCGTTTTGGAAAATTCAATCTAACTGAACCACAAGAGAAGGTGGGCGCATTTAAAATTTTAAAGTCACAGCAAAGTTTAAAAATCTTCATTTGTGAACAGCGTTTAAAAATTAAATAAAAATATTTTCTTCTACAATACATTTTTGATCCAAAAACACCTTATGTCCCTAATTTTTAGGACACTCATCAGGTTTTTGTGTATTGTTTTGGAATTTTTAAAATTGTTTTTCTTACTTCCTTCACAGTGACAATTCACAAACAGTGCCCAAACCTGTCACAATTTTAAATATCATAATTCTAAACGATCTAAGTAGTTTTGCTTTGAGTATAAGCACATGAGCGTAGTCAACTAATCTTTGGGGGCTGAAATGCTTGAAGTGTAATCCCCCTCCAGCTTTTAGCTTACGCCCATGTATAAATATTTTTAAAGCAAGGGTCACTTGTGCTCAAAAATAGTTATGAGTTACGTAAAATAGTGACAGGTTTGGGCACTGTTTGTGAATCGTCATTGTGAAGGAAGTAAGAAAAACAATTTTAAAAATTCCAAAACAATACACAAAAACCTTATGAGTGTCCTAAAAATTAGGGACATAAGGTGTTTTTGGATCAAAAATGTATTGTAGAAGAAAATATTTTTATTTAATTTTTAAACGCTGTTCACAAATGAAGATTTTTAAACTTTGCTGTGACTTTAAAATTTTAAATGCGCCCACCTTCTCTTGTGGTTCAGTTAGATTGAATTTTCCAAAACGACCGTATAAAAGAGACATGTAACTATTTAATTCCGAAAAGATTACCAAAATTGGTTGACCACTCTTGAAGATATATCCCAAAAGACGAAGAAAATTTGTGATTATCTTAAATTAAAGATACCGCAAATACCAGAGCTGATGGACTATAGGCGTAGTGGCAACTTATGCTTAGAAAAGCCTCATTTATCGAAATAAATTGGTGGCAGGCCTGGACACCGACCCATGTCACATTTTGTCGGCCTGTGTTATTTTAGGAAATAGTAGATCTGCTTATCCAAAAATACACATTTTGTTTTGATTTTTGGTAACTTTTTGACTTTTCCGAAATTGTTTTTTTGTTTTAAAAGCTGTCAAAATTTTCTCAATTTAAGATCGAATTTAATTTAATTTAAAATTTTAAAAGTTCCCAGATTGAAATATATATCCACTCCACTGTGCATTCGCAAAGTCAAATGTGGTCACTTTTCTTGCCTTCGCAGTGCCTGGAGGAAGTGGAGCCACCTGACCCGTGGAGTTGCCCTCGCTGACAAAAATAAATTATGCACACAGGGAAAAAGAAGTACGGATCCTAAAGGGGGAAACACCTCCAACTGTTAAACGGGAAAGGGCAGGGCCCTCCTAGAGAGATGGAGTGTGGTGCATCTTATAATTCTTGTATGAAAATAACAGCAGCCTAAATGTCTTGCATGTGATAATGGAAATTTATGAGGGACAGGCACGGCAACCCGTCTTCCTTTCTATGGGCAGTAGGTACGTTTCGGTGCCTAGTGGGTCATGCATATTTAAAGAGCACTCTATGTGGGAACCACAGAAACCTCAACCATCAACTTTGGCAGCCTGCCGGCTCATCAGCATCATTTCTGCCGCTGACTGCGTAATGTATTGATAAACATTAAAAGCCAATCAGCGTAATGGGTTGTGAAGTGAAGTGGGCTCCTCGCCCGCTCGTTCTACGTACTTCAGTTTCAACAGCTCATAAAATTGCAATTGACTTTGGGCCCCGAGAATATATATATATATATGTATACCAGCGACGACTCCTTGCCTTCGCAAAATGTCGCAGTCACATATGTGCTTAATTAAGTGAATAAATTGATATTTGGTGCGAGTTTATGACTGCATTGCAGTTGTGCTGTCCCGATTACGTCGAGTGAGCTGCAAATGATGTACTTATCCACACTTACTTGCACATTAATACCCACTCGGCGAACTGCTTGAGGGTGTGAAAATGGCAATAACATTAATATTTTTTATCAACGCAATTATTGTTATATATTTGGGGATTTTAACAATGATCGAACTATTATAAATAATATTTTAATAATATATTTATTTATATAAAAACAAGAGAGAACGCTATAGTCGGGTTGTTGTCCCGACTATCTAATACCCGTCACTCAGCTAAAAGAAGTGCGAACGCGGGTTGGTGTCCCGACTAATAATTGTAACTCAGCTAAAGGGAGTGCGAGGGAGATAGGTATATAATTTTTGATTGCGTATAACTTTTTAATGAATGGTCCGATTTGAAAATTGTCTTCTACATTTCGATAGGTATAAATATACACAACAAAATTGCATTTATACTTGTCGGAAATCTTTAAAGATGTGGGCGCAGGACCCATTTTAAAATCGTTAGTGGGCGATTGTGGGCGTTAGAGGGGGCGTGGCGCTCGGCTAAAATAAACTTGCGCTGCGTAGGAAGCCAAAGAATATGTGTGGGAAATCTCAACCTTCTAGCTTTTGTAGTTTCTGAGATCTCAGCGTTCATACAGACGGACAGACAGACAGACGGACAGACGGACAGACGGACAGACGGACAGACGGACAGACGGACATGGCTAGATCGACTCGGCTAGTGACCCTGATCAAGAATATATATACTTTATGGGGTCGGAAACGCTTCCTTCTAGCTGTTACATACTTTTGCACGAATCTAGTATACCCTTTTACTCTACGAGTAACGGGTATAATTAATAAATTAGTACCTATTAATAATATTATGGCATATTTGATAACTTTAAATTAATCAAGTATCATTTATTCCTCATCTTTGGTCGGATGAAATATAGTTTTTAATTGTGTAGTTTGGGAAACTATATTTATCATATAATATATAATTAATACAGTATCATAAATTCCCTTTCCTTGTTCCTTTTTATGTTTGTGCTTTGATAGCAACCTATATTTATCAGATAATTAAAATAATTTCTTAGGAAAAGCGGAAACTTTTGTTTGAAAGACTGGCTTACCACGAACTATGGTTCATAATTATCTATAAAAAAATGCAGCTGTTGTGCAAAACTTTTACCATTGGGTAACCACAATAACCAGCAAAATAGCAACCTCTCGGTAATCCGAGGACAACAGCCAGCTATTTAGCATACCACGTAGCCCGAGAAGGAAATTTAATTAATTTACTCCGCCTGGTCATCCTGTGAGCATTTGTCTCATGGCCTGGACAAGCCATAAACTCAAAAGTTACGAGTATTTTCAGCAGCTGCGCAGCCACTTCATTATGTGACTGATGATGTACAGCGGAGTTCTGGGTAAGTTATCGGGTTTTTTTCTCGCACTTTTGATGTCCTTATTTCAGCAGGCGAAAGGATGGCCGGAAGCTGAAGCATCCAGCTTGTCTTTATGGCCGCCAAGTAGCGATGTTCAAGGAAAACTTTGCAGAATGGCGGAGAGAATATGAAAACGAAAAAAAAAAAAACTGGAATATAAAAAGTTTTTTAATGAATGGAATTAGTGTTTGAGCTGCAGCGACTCTGCTAAATCGTCCGAGCATCGCCTCGGAAGTCCACTCAGAGTTCCACTCCTCC